AAAAAAAAAAAAAAAAAAAAAAAGAAAAGAAATAAGAACATTCCTTTCCCCAGGTATAGGGTGGGCACCTATGGAATGAGTGTCCTATGACCTGCCTCAGGGAGAAGCCTAGGGAAAGGCGAGTGTGGTCTCCTGATGCTTCTGCTGTTGTCTGAAATGCCAAGGTGCCATATTTTGGTGTAGCATGTCCTACACCCCGTAGCTCCCATCGTTTGTGACCTATGTGACCTTGGGCAAGCTCTTTGACTTTTCCTTTTGGTGCCTCTGTCCATGGCACAGGGCAGTTCCATCTTGGGCATTGTGTGCGGCGTCCAGGTGATGCAGCAGACAGCACCCTGCATGGGGACCACACATAGCCAGGGCAGGGCACCTGGGAGCTTCTTTCCATCCCTCCCTTGGAGCCCCCACTTTTTTCTTGATTTGTATCGTGGATGGGAAGATGCCTGTCCCAGTACAGTTGATGTGAAAATCAAGTTTGTCCTTGGAGTGAAGCCAAATGCTTTGCAAATGTCAGGAGCTGTCTCTGCCTGTCTGGGAGCTGTCTCTACCTGGAAGGTGCCATCTGCCCCGTGGGCTGCTGGTTTGGGGCCAGCACTGGGCTACTGCTTTGGCTGTGGTGCTGAGCCCGGACTTGGCTGCAGGGTGAGCCCTGGGTGGTCTCCGGGACTGCTCCTCTCCTAGGGTAGAGAGATAGTGACTCCTCCCCAGGCCTCCTGGGAGGCCCTGCCTCCAGCTCTTCCCACCCCAGGCTAAGCCTCAGAGTCTTCTTTGAGGCCACTGCTCCCAGCCCTGCAGCCCTCTCTCCTTTGATATTATAGGTTGTCAGCACTGCATTTAAGGAAAGGGATTCTTTGCTTCGATTACTGCCCAGACAGAAACTTCCTGGGTAAGTCATCTTCAGGTCACCCAGAAGCTGCTGGGGGGAGGGCTGCTAGGGACAGGGGCACCACCTGAGCTGAGGAGACAGCTGCACAGCTCTGGCCTCTGTCTGGCTTCCTCTCCTGCTGCTCTTTTCCCCACTTCTGGGCACCAGGGCTGTGTGATGACAGGCCACCTGGGAGGGGGATGGAGGGACTGGAGCAGGAGGGGCAGAGTCATGAGGGACCTGGCAAGCCTGCAGGGGGCCAAGGACCTGGCCCTGGATGAAGGTCCTCAGTGGAGGCCCCTGGGACTGACACCCATATCTTGACCCCCGTGTCTTGACCCCAGTGACTGGTGGCTACGATGCCCTCATCCGCCTGTGGAACCCCTTTGTCTCAAAGATGTCTGTGTGGCTGATGAAGGGACACCAGACCTCAGTGACGCACATCCTCGTGGACAGCAGGAACAGCAGCATCCTCATCAGTATCTCCAAAGACAAGGTCTGCCCCCGCAGTCTGCCTGACTCCTTCTGTTCCTCAGGGAAACACACTGGCCAGAGGAATGGCATGACCTCCCTGAACACGGCCCCACATCTGGCCGGAGGCCTAGTGGAAGGACCCGGGTGGAAGGAAGGGGACAGTGGCCATGGGCCTCTGGGTGTGTCCCCAGAGCTGGGTTCCCAGGTAACCCAGCCTGGCTTCTGACTTTATGACCCTGGTAAGTCCTTCCCTTTTCTGAGCCTCAGTCTTCCCATCCATGGAATGGGCTGTTGAGTGGTTTAGAGAACCAGCAGCAAAACAGCAGTGCAGCATCTGGCGCAGGGGAGTTATGTGCTGCATGACAGCCGTTCCCCCGTGCTGCTCCTGCCCTGATCTTTACCTCTCAGTGGCTCTAGTGACCCCTCCTCGGCTGCCTGGCCATCAGGGCTGGGCTTGGCCTTTCCCACATTCTAGGGCTCCCACTCAGGACCCGCCACTGTGCTCCTCTGCAGCCGCTGGCTCAGGTTACTGCCCCGTCTGCTGGGCTGCGGGCCCTCCTTCAGGGGATGGGTTACATTCTCTGGGACTCTGGAGATGGAGAATTGTCAGCGCCCTCAGAGTCACCTGGGCCACCGTCTCCAACATATCCATACACCCTCCTGTCTGGCATCTTCCCAGAAGCCCTGGGAGTTGGGATCATCGCCTCTGATAAAGGGTCTGAGTCTGGGGGAACGGGGACAGGGACAGGCTCACTGAGGCCTCCAGTCAGCCACGGGCAGAGGATGCCTCCAAGAAGTGAGGGTCTTGGAAGGACTTCTGTGGGCCCTCTATGGAAAGTTCCTTTGCCTGGGATGAGTGGGAGGGGCTCCTCCGGGGATGGGCAGGCCATTGTGGCAACTGTGTTGGTAGCCACTTTCGGACTGTGTCCCAGATGGAGTGGCAGCAAGGGAGGGCCTGGGGCCAGCACGTGCTGCCTGGCTTGGGTTTTGGGCCCAGCCAACTAATTCAGATGCTCTGGCAGGGCAGAGGCCTAGGGGCAGGCTGGAGGGGGGTGTGGGGTGTGGGGGTGGAGCTATGCCTGGCCCTCGCTCACTGTGTACCTGTGTTATCTGAGCACAAGAGCAGCCTCTCTGCTGCTGGGTGTGATGATGCCGACGCCATGCGTGTGTGTTGGAAGTACTTGCACGACGTGCCTGGCCTTGGTCGCTGGACGCACCCCCAAGGCTTCAGGAGTGGCTGTGTCCCCAGCACCCACCCTCAGCCTCTTGCCTGTTTCCCACCCCACAGAACATTCGTGTGTGGGACATGCTGGACTACATATGCCTCCAGTCCTTCTGCGGGAAGTTTTTTGCCCTGGGAAACTGCCCCATCACCAGCGCCTACTTCTTCGAGAAGGACAATACCCTCATCTGCAGCACCTACTCAGTGAGTGCTGTCCCAGGAGGAAGTGGGGTTGAGGCCGCAGGAAGAGGGCCAGGGTCTGGGTCTGACGTCCCATGGGACACCGTCCCTCCTGCTGAGGCTGCGAGACTGGCCTGGTCTGCGAGGGACCGTGTATTGGGATTTCCTGAAATCTAGGCCCCAGCCTGTCATCCTCTCTGCAGCCGCTGCTGCTGTCTGCACTGTCCCCACTCAGGCATCCTCAGCCTCTCCCTCTGGAAGCCACCCTGAACCTCAGGCTGGTTCCTCCATGCTTTCTCGGCCCCGTTCCTTCCCTCAGCCGAGACCCTCGTAACTGCCCTGTTGCTACCACGTGACTGTTTTTCGTGCTAAGTCATGAACTCCAGGAAACAGGCCATCTGTGGCTCAGGACCCAGTGGGGACCCCTTTGAGGTCTGTCCTGACCCTGGAGGACAGGAAAGATGGGGACAGGCAGGAGGGGCTTCCTGTGGAGGTAAGGGCAAGGGGATCTGCAGTAAGGTGGAGGCTTGGGGAGCTGCCAGGCTGAGCCGCAGCCCACAGATGGGAGCAGAAGCCTGGAAAGGAGGCGTGGGGGCCACCCATGGTTGAGGTCCACTGAGGCCTCCCACGCTTCGTGGGCTGGGCCATCCTGGCCGGTGACACGTGTGTCGTCCTTATGCACTTGGCTGGCTCTCCCCTAGAGCAGGTTTCTTTCTTT